TTGTTGATGTATTAGTAATGCTTATCTGAAAACTTGAAGTCCCCCTAAGAATATATTTCAAAATTGCTTTTCAATAGCATTGCCATATGACATCATTTTTCTGTTTTGGTTACTTTATTTTTTTAAAGGAGCTTACATTTATACTTTCCAACATTGTATTTAAATATATCAGCCTATATTTTAGGCTTTGCATTGTATCCTAAAGTTCAGCAGACCCTTGAGGAAAGTCAGTTCCAGAGTCAAGAGACCCCCACTAAGAATTCCCAGCTACTAACCACATGATGTTTACATCTAGGCCTTCAAATGCTCTATCTTATCTCAAATGTTGTGATGATAATATGTGGAAAGAGAGGTTGTCTCTCTGATAGTGGGGACCCAAGCCATCCGGGGCTTTAATAGATAAGAGACAACAACTTGAATTGTACCCAGAAGTTGAATAGGAAGGAACTATTTTAAGAAAAGCAGTAACATATTCCTTGTGACTGTTACTAGCTAACAGTCAACCAGTTGCATTCAGCACCATCTGTAACATCTGAGTGGTCATCAAGAATATCCCAAAGTAGGACATATTGCCATTATTGTGGTAATACCAGACCTGAGAGAGAAGATCACAGATGTCTATTCAGAGGTGGTAGCTGAGATTAAGTTGCTCTTGGCCCCCAGAACTAGCTGGGATTCCAGAGGAAGACTGTGGTCTTAGAGCAGGGGTTCTCAAATTGGAGGGTGGGACCTCTCAGGGGGTCATGAGGTTATTACATGGGGGGGTTGCGAGCTGTCAGCCTCCATCCCAAACCCCACTTTGCCTCCTGCATTTATAATGGTGTTAAATATATTTTAAAGTGTTTTTAATTTATGAGGGGGGTCACACTCAGAGGCTTGCTATGTAAAAGGAGTCACCAGAACAAAAGTTTGAGAACCACTGTCTTAGAGCATCAAGTTGCAAATTGCATGGCTAAACCCTGTATTTAATGGGGTCTGAAGTCCTCTTCACCATATTCTTGAAATCCTTTCCCTGCCTCTAACCCACTGTCATTATTTCAGATTTGTACAAATTAAGATTCAGTTAGTTTACTCTTAGCAAATCCTAATGCTAGGAAGCAAGCAAAAACTGACCCCGCATCATCCATTTCTGGTAGAAAGAAGAAATGTTGCTGCATGTCATCTGTATACTAATGACACTAGCCAGAGTTTCAGAAATAATTCCCATTTGAGCACACATTCAACCCACTGTTTTTTGAACATCCCAATTGAGATTTAAAATATTTTCATTGTATTTATATTTGGCACAGATTTGACACCGCCCTTGTCACAAGCTCATAATGTTCCTGTACTAGTTTCTAGTTGTCAAGCTAATTATTACTGATCACACCACAATTTTTCACACCTTTCAGATTGATTACAGCATATTTTTAAGGACAGTACTGTAGAGACAAAACATTTTTCTTGTGATCAAGAACACCTTGAATTTAGCAATATAGAGTCAGAATATTCTGTCACTTCACTGAAACTATCTGTCAATAATGAGCCTCACTGAGAATCATGAAACTATATATGTAAATATGGGTGTCCTTCATGTATTATATATTAACTAAGACTGTCAATTAATCGCAGTTAACTCACGCATTTAACTAAAAAAGAAATTAGTCGTGATTAATTGCGGTTTTAATTGCACTGTTAAACAATAGACTACCAATTTAAATGTATTAAATATTTTGGATGGTTTTGTACATTTTCAAATATATTGATTTCAATTACAACACAGAATACAAAGTGTACAGTGCTCACTTTATATTATTTTTATTACGAATATTTGCATTGTAAAAATGATAAACAAAAGAAAGTGTTTTTCAATTCACCTCATGCAAATACCTACTTCTGATGGCATTCTGTTCTAAAAAATTAAAAATGCTGTGCACAATATTTTAAAATTCTTCAAAATTCTGCAAGTTTTATTTGTCAATAAACAAATGCAGAGGCTCCAGCATAGCAGTGGGGAGCACAGGCCACTGGCTGCACGAAGGTGGAAGATCACCTGCACCCCCCCTCCCCAACTCAAGGACATGGACTCAGCAGTGAGGCTTCACCCGACCCTGACACAGCACAAGGCCTGGGCCTGCCCCAGAAACACCCTGGGGCCCTGCCCCTCTGCTCCAGCTGCGCAAGATGTGGGGCAAGCAGGCTCAACCAGGCAGGATACAAGTGTGGAGGGGCTCAGTGTGGGGGGATCCAGGAGTGGGGTGAGAGGATTCTGTGTGGGACAATCTGGGTGCAGGCAGCTCAGTGGGGGGGTGTATGTATGGGGGGATCTGGATGCACAGAGGCTCCTTAGGGAGGTTCCAGGTGCAGGTGCAATGGAACTCGGCGGGGGCTTCCAGGTGAAGGTGGTTGGGACTCAGCAGAAGGGTCTGGGTGCTGGGAGAGTGGGGCTTGGTGCGGTGGGAGTCTGGGTGCAGCTAGTTGGGGGTCAGTGGTGTTGGGGTCTGGATCTGAGGGCTCAGTGTGGGGATTTGCATGCAGGGAGCTCAATTAACAGTGGTCTGGGTGCAGGGGTGGGGGTCTGGAGGCAGGGGGTCTGAATACAGGGGGGCTTCAGATGCAGGGGTTGAGATTCAGTAGGGTGGGGTTTGGGTATGGAGAGCTAGGGGGGTTCTGGATGTACTGGGTGAGGCTTGGCGGGGATGTCTGGGTATGGGAGGTCTGGATGCACAGGGGTTGGGTGAATGGGGGAGCAGCTCCCCATATAGTGACCCCTCCCCCCACAGCTGAGGAGTGATGGGGGCAGGAAGCAGGGGAGGATGATGAGCTTCCTGCAGCTAGGGGAGGTTTTTTGGGGTGGGTCTGACACAGCCCCAGCCATTCCTTGCAGAGGAAAAGGAAGTCCCGTCCTTTCCTGCCTCCAGCCCAGCCGGGACTAGCAGCTGATCCCATCTCAGGACAGGAGCCACTGGCTGGGATGTCCTTAGCCCTGCGGTGATTTACCTCTCCGCCAGCTGCTCTCGGTGTCTGAAATGTTGTACCTATGCTGCTGGGAGTGATGTGTGACTGCTCTTGCAGCTTCCATTTGCTTCCCTGTCAGAAAGTCATTTTTCTGCAGGGAAGCAAAGAAAACTGTGGGGAACATGAATTCTGCACTTGTGCGGTGGTGCAGAATTCCCCCCCAGGAATAAAGTACCATAATGCAATCTCTTTATCGTGAAAGCACAACTAAAAGTGTAGATTTTTTTTTGTTACATAACTACAGTCAAAAACAAAATAATGCAGAACTTTAGAACCTGCAAGTCCACTTGGTCCTACTTCTTGTTCAGCCAATCACTAAGAGAAACAAGTTTGTTTACATTTACGGGAGATAATGCTGCCCGCTTCTTATTTACAATATCATCTGAAAGTGAGAACAGACGTTCGCATGGCATTTTTGTAGCCAGCGTTGTAAGGTATTTACGTGCCAGATATCCTAAACTTTCGTATGCCCCTTCATGTTTTGGCCACCATTCCAGAGGACATGCTTCCATGCTGATGACGCCCAGTAAAAAAATAATGTGTTAATTAAATTTGTGACTGAACTCCTTGGGGGAGAATTGTATGTCTCCTGCTCTGTGTTTTACTCGCATTCTGCCATATATTTCATGTTATAGCAGTCTCAGGTAATGACCCAGAATGTTCTTTGTTTTAAGAACACTTTCACTGTAAATTTGACAAAATGCAAAGAGAAGGTACCAATGTGAGATTTCTAAAGATAGCTACAGCACTCGACCCAAGATTTAAGAATCTGAAGTGCTTTCCAAAATCTTAGAGGGATGAGGTGTGGAGCATGCTTTCAGAAGTCTTAAAAGAGCAACACTCCAATGCGGAAACTACAGAACCCGAACCACCAAAAAAGAAAATCAACTGGTGGCATCTGACCCAGATGATGAAAATGTACATGCACTGCTTTGGATCATTATCGAGCAGAACCCATCAGCAGCATGGACACATGTCCTCTGGAATATTGGTTGAAGCATGAAGGGACATATGAATCTTTAGTGCATCTGGCACAGTGCCATGCGAACACCTGTTCTCACTTTCAGATGACATTATAAACAAGAAGCAAGCAGCATTATCTCCTGCAAATGTAAACAAACTTGTTTGTCTGAGCGATTGGCTGACCAAGCAATAGGACTGAGTGGACATGTAAGCTCTAAAGTTGTACATTGTTTTATTTTTGAATGCAGTTATTTTTGGTACATAATTCTACATTTGTTAGTACAAGTTTCATAATAAAGATATTGCATTACAGTACTTGTATTAAGTAAATTGAAAAATACTATTTATTTTATGTTTACAGTGCAAATATTTATAATAAAAAATAAAGTGAGCACTGTACACTTTGTATTCCATGTTGTAACTGAAATCAATATATTTGAAAATGCGGAAAACATCCAAAAATATTTATATAAATGGGAGTCTATTATTGTTTAACAGCACGATTAATCGCGATTAATTTTTTTATCGCTTGACAGCCCTAATATTAACCTTAATATTACATTTATGAAAAATCTTGCCCCCTGGTGTATTTAGTCACAAAATAACAAAAGAATCGTATGGCTTTCTGTGGCACCTCAAAATAAAGCTAAATAGAATGAGAATAGTCTGTATGAGAAATGTAATGCAATGAAAATATACATCAGTTCTGAATATGAGGTGATTAGAGGTTGGTAACGTTCTAATCCAAATCTAAAAGTTCAGGGTTATCCAGATTTGGGTTTTTTTCAACTCATTTATGACAAAATGGCACATGTGAAGTTCAGATCTGAGGTTTTAGTGCAGGTAATATCCTCTTAAGCAACCTTTGTAAGAGGTCATGTTACTGTAATTGTCACTGTGCTGTAATCATTAAATTAAATTTTAAAAGAATTGGATAATATTTCCCATTACATTTTGCAAGGAAATAGTCTACTGTTAAACTTGAAATAAGAAAATGTATTGGAAGATGTTTTATTTGTTTAATTTTATTTGTATTACAGGAGCACCAGGACAGTGTGCTGGGTAATACCATGCAGAGTGTAATTGCATTATTGAATAATCTGGTTGCCCACAAAAATACAAACATGACTTTACTTTATGAACAAGGTATGTGTTTCTTATATTTGGCATCCTCCTCACTGCAAATATTTGCCTACTTGTGTATCATAGCATGAGCTTTTCTACTCAGTGTGCTTAATTATGTACTGTAGCTGGCGGTTCCTAAGGAGTGACTAAGTGAAAGCTAAATTGTACCTTTAAGGCACAACTTTGTGTAAGGATGGTACAGAGCCCAGGGCACATGAACTTTGATTGTAACTGGTCCTTGCATGCCTGGAGCATGCAGGAAGAAGGGAGGCTCCTTGTATTCTCCCTACCTTCCTATTCACTCCTGTGAAAGGGCCAGTCACTCTATGACTGTAAACTTCTTTCTTACTAATTAATGCCCCAGTCCTACATTGTGATCTGTATGGGCAGTCTGATGCACCCAGAAGGCGCCCCATTGACTTCAGTGGTTCTAAATATGAAAATCATTACACATCTAAATAAAAGTCAGATTCAGTAATAAAATATATTGAAATAGAGAATTTGGCTTCAGTTTACAAGATGTAGTGAGCAATTTCTGTTGTTGAAATGAGAATACATTTGTTTGAAAGTTTATCTATAAATTTGTAACTGAATTTTGCTAGCATAGACCATTTTTAATTACTTATTAACAATAGTACCTAGTAATAGTTGGCTTTGTGAGTAAGGCAACATTGACAAGCCAACAAGACGAAATCTGCAACACTGCACCTGAATAGTTGTTACTTGTGTTATCATAATTCTGTGAATTTGACTGTAAACTGTTTGGGGCAAGTTCTTTCTTGTGTGTTGTATAGAGTTTCAGACATATACAGACTACTAGATGAATAATAATGATATATTAGAACTTCAAACAGAAGTTATGGGTTTACAGGCTGGATGCAGAAATTACTGACTGAGGTTCTAAGGACCTATATTGTACAGGAGCTCAGATGGTTTCAAAATGGCCCCTCTTGACCTTAAAAATTTAGGAGTAATTAAAATATTAAAATCCCGATGCTAATAGTATTTTTATCGGTTTAAGACATGTACTTAATTGAAATGTTGCAGGTAAACAGATTACTCGTAATACAGAGAAAGCCCTTCTGTTTCGTTTAATTTTAAAATTAATTGCATTAACACTTTAAATCTGGCTACTCGCTAGTGCATATGCACTGATCTTTTCATAAGTTTTAATACAACTTTTTGTATTAACAATATTACAGCCTAAATTATGGAATCACATAAATTATAATTCACAACACCTACAAAATATTTTTAAATTAACTCCACAACATATGTATTTCCTCATTAGACTCAAAAAAGGCACCCTAAGTTCTTGTTAAACATTGTTGATTTCCACATACCTAAGTACAAAATCATCTAAGTAGGTATGTACAGATCAGAAAACCTATGTATGAGCTGTTTAACATTTGTTTTTGTTTTGTTGTTGTTTTTTTATTCAGTCATATGTACTTTGTAATTCTTTGAAAGACTTTGTCTTTCAGGGTACGTCTACACTTACCGGAGGGTCTGGCGGCAGGCAATCGATGTTCTGGGATCGATTTATCGTGTCTGGTTTAGACGCGATAAATCGATCCCGGATCGATCCCGGAAGTGCTCGCCGTCGACGCCGGTACTCCAGCTCGGCGAGAGGAGTACGCGGCATTGACGGGGGAGCCTCCCTGCCGCGTCTGGACCCGCGGTAAGTTCGGACTAAGGTACTTCGAATTCAGCTACGTTATTAAGGTAGCTGAATTTGCGTACCTTAGTCCGAAGTGGGGGGTTAGTGGGGACCAGGCCTAAAAAAACCCCCCAAAATATTACATTTAAATTACGTTAGGACTCCCCAGCAAGCATCATGCCCCTGCCTGTCTCCGTGTAGTCTGCTGGGTCCCACTCTCGTTTACTTTTCACATTGCTTGGCAATGTGCCAGTTCTTTCCCACCTCTAATCTACTTTGTGTCTCATCGCTCAGGGTAGTTCGTGGCTTGAGGAATTGGGCTAGAAATGTTATTGAAGGCAGATGTGACATGGAGAAGACAAGCTTGGAGAAGGGAGAGTCCCAATAGGGATTGGATCTGACACTAGTTGGGGCTCACCGCATTTCAGTGCCCTTACCTGGATGTACTTCACAGCAACCAGAAACCATTTCTCTGTCTTAGCCAGTTCCTAAGGGTGCTGAGACTATCTTCAGGGTACTAAATACCTGAAGCATAGCCAGTGTCTTATTGATTGAGGGCCTAATCCTAAAGTTCACAACTTCTGAGACCCAAGTCTATAAGATAATTACAGAAATACTGATCTGGTGATGATGGACCTGAAAGTTCTACTGTCCAAATGTAGGTGGGAAGAAAGCTGTCCTAAAGCAAAACAAAGGACTTGGTTATCTTTTCTCATTTCCCACTGTGACCAGGGTCCCAAGAGAGCCAGCTGAGGTCACTCAATTAGGGTGAACCCCAAAGAATGGGGCAGACAATCCCCAAAGCTGGTGGATATTTTAATACTTAGATTTAACAAGCCAGCACAAAACAGCTTCTTTATTACCTCACTGGTTACCCAGAAGCCAACAACACAGTTCCCTTAAAGTAACCCAGCCTCAGGCCTCCACCCAGATACCCAAGTCAAGTATGATGAAGATTACTGAAAATCTTATTTCGTCATATAAAAAAGAAAAGGTTCTACCAATCCCAAAGGATCGGACACATTACCTCTCAGGTTAATGAACATTCCAGATTTTACCCAAAACCACACTTACAGCCAATTCTTATTAACTAATCTAAAATTTATTAAAAAAGAAAAGAGAGAAAGTATGGTTAAAAGATAAGTATACATACACACATGAGTTCAAATCTTGAGGTTCAGATTCATAGCAGAGATGATGAGCTTTGTAGTTGCAAAGAGTTCTTTCTGAATAATCCATAGGTTATAGTCCAGGGGTCGGCAACCTTTCAGAAGTGGTGTGCCGAGTCTTCATTTGTTCACTCTAATTTAAGGTTTTGCGTGCCAGTAATACATTTTAACGTTTTTAGATGGTCTCTTTCTCTAAGTCTATAATATATAACTAAACTATTGTTGTATATAAAGTAAATAAGGTTTTAAAAATGTTTAAGAAGCTTCATTTAAAATTAAATCAAAATGCAGAGCCCCCCGGACCGGTGGCCAGGACCCGAGTAATGTGAGTGCCGCTGAAAATCAGCTCACATGCTGCCTTCGGCACGCGTGCCATAGGTTGCCTACCCCTGTTAATAGTCCATTGTTTATATTTCAGGGCGATCCAGTCAGAACTGGGATCTCAGTCCTTGTGGCTTAGGCTTCTCCTGAATGAAACCTCAAGCAGATCTGAGATAAAAAGGATTGGGACCCAAACATCTTTTATACAATTCAGGCCTTCTTTGACAGGTTGGACTCCTTGGGGAACAATAGGCCCTCCTTTCCTAAGCATTGTGGTTGATTATTCACACAGACTAATGTAAGGCAATTGCCTGTTTTTCCATCATTCACAGGGGATTTACTATACACTTCAAAAAGAGATGAATACAGCGATAGCCCGTGTTTACAATTCATTTAAATGCCAGGATGTTTTTTTGATCTCTTAATTAACAGAATACAGCATAGACTGGACTGTTGATTACATTGTTGACCACTACCCATATATATGTAAATACACAAAAACACAGACATTATCTTCCCAAATGTCTTTAAGGTTTGAATTTGAGTCATTTATCCTGCAGGATGCTTAACCCTTTCTGGCCGTGCATCACACCCACAATAACTTTAGAATTCTTTCCTGCTGCATAAAGACACTTTAAAATATGTATGGCGCTATCTCAAGTTCCTGATTTTTGTTATCTTTATACACAGAGCAGGATATGATCTAGTAGTCTGGGAGATAATATTCTGTCTGTGACCTTGGGGAAGTTTCTCTCAATTTCAGTTTTCCCATCTGTAAAATAGGGCCTTTTATAGTTCTTGAACATTATATGAGACTCCGACTATGAAGTCAGTCCTGAAAAGTTATACTGCTGATGCTCCCTTTTATGATAAAGTAAATTCATAATTCCAAGGGGATCACTCATAAACATATTATAAATTATGCCCTAAAGATACCTTTGTTTTGCTTCATTTATCTTGTGTTCAAATGATGCCTCACAGGAAGTTATTGAATTTGTTTTTTTAACAGTTCAAGCACTAGCAACTAAAACCCCCCTTCCTATTCTGACTATGATTCTCTCTCTTCAGCTGCCAGGAAACCAATATTTTTGAAGGCAGATCATTCATAGATCTTAGTCATTCCCATTAATTTTGTACTTTTTAGCCTTTGGAATTTACTGTCTTTTTCCTCCCCAGAGGAGTTGTATTAGCTTATGAAGATTATAGAGTAGGTTACAGTCTACATGTTACTTTTTCTCTCTTCCTCAATCAATCTTGCGTGATGGGTCTTGCTTCATGATTATTTCTGCAGTTTCATATTGATAACAACGCCTTACATTTTAGCTGCTTTGATTCCAAAATCCTTTATGTAGACTACCATGAAGTAACGTCTCTCACCTCTGAACTACAGCCTTTTATGTCATGGTACACATCAGATGTGTAATGATGCTCCCCTGTAATGTTTCTAGGTGAATAAGAGAATAACATTTGTAACTTGATCTGTGAGGGGAATTTTAGAATGGCCCATGCCATCAATTTATAAATGTATGTCCCATTAAAATTAACGGAGAGTTCTGCTTAATAATCAGCATGATATAGCCCAGTATAATTACCCAGGCTGGAATTCAGTGAGGACACAGGGACTAGCAGAATTACTTCAGTCTCTTGTGAAAAGTATAATCAGGTCTCAAATAACCAAAAGTATTTTGATCATGTTTAAGTCTCATCTAAAAGATTGGTACTGTTGGAGGTCTCATAGGATTCTTTCTTTCAGTGTACCAACCATCAGGTGTTTGTCTTTTAAAACTTGAGTTATAAGCCTACTCTCTGCCAAAGTATATACAAATCTCAAGGCAGAACAAGGTGAAAAATGTCACTTGACAACTCATACA